AACAAACAATAATATTTGATATTAGTTATTATTGATAAAAAAAAAGTCAATTTTATTTTCATTTTCACATGAAATATCGTTTCTTACAAAATTAGAACTTTTCTTTTTACTAATAAAGGTTTCGACTAAGCTTGCATATTAAAAAATTTAAAACCATTTAATTTTTTTTCTCTCTCTTTCCTAAAAAGAAAATTAATTTTGTAATTTTTCCTTTATATTCCAATTTTCAACCCAATGGGATAAAAAATAGTTTAAAAAAAAGAAAAAAATAGAAATAGAAAATCAAATTCAAAGTCCAAATATTAATGAGGAAAAAGCTGAAAAAATGTCTAACCGGAAGTGCTAGATTTAAGTAATCAGTAATATATATATTTATTTATTTTATTAATTGAAAAAAAAATTTCTCTAATTTGTATATTTATAAAGTGTTTGAGTGGGTTTAAAATGATAAGTTAAGTGACATCAACTCAATTAAGAGAAATACAAAAAATAAAAAAAATAACAATATTAAATAATAAAATAGGGGCATTCATGTCTTTTAATTTTCCATATAATATATATATTTAAAAAAATTATCCTTTTTTAAACTACCCATTTTGTTCTCTCTCAAAATATTTTTTTCAAATTGCTTTGCTTCCACCCACAAAGTGGGTGTAAATGTTTCTAGTTTAAGTAAAAGCCCTTATTTGTATGATTAAACCGGTGATACTAGGTTTTTATTTTTGGATGATGAAAATAATATATATATATATATGGAGGGTTTTTATTTTTTTTTCAATTAATAAAAAAATATAGATATATTTTCCTAAACCATCTATTTTCTTAGGAGTAATAAAGATTATTAATGGAAAAAATAAAAACCCTACGGTTTCAAATTCTATATTCATCTTTATTTTATAACTTACTAATTTAAAACAATTAATAATCTATATCTATACTATATACTAGCTAGATAAGTAATTAACACCCATTTTAGCCACTACTTGGTTGTTTAATTAGAATAGGTAGGGAGTTTTCTTTAAGGAAAAAAAAAAAAAAGGGAAGGGAGTTTCTTTTTAAATATAAAATTAGTTATTAATTAAGTATTTTTATTATGTAAAAAAGTAACTTATGGCCAAAAAACAAATGTCCAAGTGAAAGCTAAAGGAAAAGAAAAAAAAATAGAAGCTTAATTTAGTATATTTATATAATTATTTTTAAAAAATAATATTACATAAGTTTAAAATTTAAATATCAATATTTGTAATTTTTTTTATATTCTAATTACGATCTTTTTTATATAAAAAAGATATATTAAATTTTATTTTTACATATTTTTAACTATTTTTATTTTTATAATTTTACCACATTTTATGTAACTGTAACTTCAGTGTCATGTATCTTTGGAAAAATAATAAGTTATTGTCATATGGTTTGTGATGTCAAACTTAATTAATAATTTTATATATTAATACATAAAATAAAGATCTATTTATATAAATGTAACTTTTACATTTTTTTAAAAAATTTTGGATCAAAATTACTAAATTGTGACATCAATTCAATTGATAATTATGTTAAGAAAACTACAAAAACTAGTCTAATTAGTATATAAAATAAGGATTATTTATATTTTCTTCAAAAATGAGATTTGGGCGCCATGTACTCTTTTTAGCTTTAGTTATGCTTAATAAAAATTATCCAATTTATTAAAAAAAAAAACCATTCATTTTTCTTCTTTCACTCATGTTGTAGGTAGGAATGTAAATGATACATTAGTACTCACAAGCTATTCGGGTTTGATTCGAAGAAAACTCGAATTCGATTCGATTATTATCGAATCAAGCTCGAGTTCGAGTAGCTCGACTTATCGATCGAGTCGAATTCGAGTATTATTATATTCAGTTCGAGGAGCTCGCGAGCCTAATCGAACTTTTATATTTAAATATATATTTATTATTTTAATTAATAAAATATTTCGAGTCCGAGTTCGAGTTTGAGCATAAATAATCGAACTTTTGTCGAGTATACGAATCGAGTTTATTTTTATATATTAATCGAGCTTAATTGAACGAGTTCAAGTAGCTCGAATTCGATCACGAATCGAATTCGAGCTTGAAAAATAAAACGCGATCGAGTTCGAATCGAATATCAAGTTTGAAATTATAAGTCGAATTTAAACTCGAACTTCTTATTGTATCGACTCGATTCGACTCAATTTAACCCCTATTTGTAGGTGTCATAAATCTAGCTTTTCGAATCGAAACTTTACATACAGTAGCATAAGTTTTTTAAATGCAAATTGCTTTTTTTATTATTATTATTTCTTCTATGTGATGTTTTTGTCCTTCTAAAAATACTTTTACTGTGACACCCTTAGACATATTTCTCCCATTTATTAAATAACTGATTAATCATATCATTGATCAGCCTGTTCCACATACTTTTATAAATAACACCTTCCAAAACACCAATGGTTAAACATATCTTTCAAAAAAAAAATCCTAAAAAGTAATTTCCAATAATTAATAATTTTTTAGAATATTACAAAAAATTGGACATAGTCGGACAAATTTTTTAGTGATTACTTAAAGGCAGAAAAAAACAAGAAAACATATTTTTTTGTTCAAGTTAATTGATTTATCCCTTAGAAATAAAGTTAAAACATTTTTTACTTAAATTAGCATTATTTATATGCCTTAAGTATATATTGTTCTAAGACAAGCATGGTAATTATAAAATTTGTGACAAGTACAAAAAAAAAAATGTGTGATATAACGTCGATCATCGCATAGTTTGATAGAATGTTGAATTCTTTACTTGATAAAATATGTTCATGTAATCACCTTTAAAAATAATAGTGGATTCATTATTTTTTTTGTTCACTTATAATTATATTAAAAATTTATAAACAAAATTTTGAAATAATATATTGTTATATTATTACAATTGTCCATGATAAATTCTCGTATCTTGAAGAAAATATCACTACTAATACTATTAGATACATCGTTATCAATATATGTAACAAACAATCATTCAACTAAAAATCATTGCTATTGTCAAATTTTATTTGACAGATTTACTAATACTAAAAGAGTGTCGAAGGATTTTTTTTTTCTATTTTTTCCTTTTAATTTATCAATCTATGAGTTTGTTCATAAATACTTTACCTTATCACATAGATTCATTATTACTTAAGAGATATCATTCAGTAGGTCTGACTCTCAAATTTTAATACATATAATTTTTTATTTTATTCTAGACTACAATCTCTTTTGTTAAAAAAAAAAATGTTGTAACTTTTAATGGGACAAATAGTAAATCAACCAATTTGGAGCTCTTATGTATACGTGCAGAGGATTGACATGGTAACATGAAAAGCTTTTTCTTCACGTTGTGCCAACTTTTAAGATAATGGAGACAACAGAAATCTGCAAAAGCAATGTTTCAGCGAGCCAGGAAGCTGAGCCATGTGATGCTGAATTCCAAGAATTCGTTCTATACTTACCTAAAGAGAGAAATGGGTATGGAACTCATCTTTATTTTTACCAACGCTTTTGGTGTCCTTCTTTCATGTTTAAAGCTACAATCTCTTTCCAAAACCAGTTCCGAGTACTTGATACTGATATCATTCTTACAGGTATCCCAAAATCTGGCACTACTTGGCTTAAAGCCTTGACTTTCCTGATTGTGAATTGCAATAAATTTGCATTGGAAGACAACCCTTTTGCTCAGTTTAAGCCCTCACGAACTTGTACGCTTCTTTAATTTGCTGTTTATTTGGATCTTCGTATCTTGAAAACAACCCTGATTTTCAGTCAAGAATTTTCGTAACTCACACGCCTTATGATTCTTTGCCACCTTCCATTAAAGGTTCCAATGCGAAGATTGTTTACATTTGTAGAGACCCAATGGATGTGTTCATCTCCAATTGGTATTTCAGTCACAAACTTGAATTTGAAAATGTGAACCATTATCACTAGACGAAGCATTCGACAGTTCTGCCAAGGAATTCATAGTTTGGGCCGTATAGTAATCTTGCTTCTGGGTTTTTGAAGGCAAGCCAAGAAATTCCCAACAAAATCTTGTTTTTAAAATACGAAGATTTTAAAGAAAACATTAGTTTTTACACAAAGAAGTTGGCTGAGTTCTAGAGATTTCCTTTCTCCACGGAAGAAGGGAAACATAGAATAGTAGAAAAGATTGGGAAACTATGCAGCTTCGAGAGCTTGAAAGAACTGGAGGTGAACAAGACTGGAAAGAATGATTATGGACCTCCAAACAACGCCTTCTTTCAGAAAGCAGAAGTAGGAGATTGGAGCAACTATATGACGCCTTCCATGGCAGATCGTTTCGACAAGCTTGTTCTCAACAAGTTGAATATGTTAGGTTTAACATTCAAATTGTCTAGCAAAAGCCATGCATTCAAATTGTCTAGCAAAAGCCACGCATGAGGATGCTTACACCCAGCTTTATGCACCTGTTGTGGTTTCGGCTTTCTCATGTATTACGGTCGGCCCTGTCTTGATACATTTTCATGAAATAATAGGGAGTTTAATCTTTTCTTGATGTTCGTTGCAGTCGTGTTCTTAATTTATTACATGCAATAAAAAGGAGCTTGGGGCCTATTTGGCCCGACTTGCTTCTACTGTTTTAGTAGAACTGTTTTAAAAGCATTAAAAAAAATTGAAATATTATTTGACCTTGTAGTGGTGTTGTAGAGTATTTTTTATGCTTTTAATAGATAAAGAGAAAAAAAAATTCAATTTAATAAAAATAAATCAAATATGAAGTATATTTTTTAATTTTTATTAAATTCATATATCATTTTTCATCCAAAATTCACTTTTCTATAACCTTATAAAAACCAAATACTAATTTGTGTGGTAAATATTCTTGTTAAAAAGAAAATTAATTGTGTAATTTCCCCTTCATATTTCAAATTTTCAACTCAACGGGTAAAAAAAAAATGGTTAAAAAGGGAGAAAAAAAGAAATGAGAAAGAAAAAAAAGCTAAATATTAATGTGGACAAAGCTGAAAAAATTTTCAGCCGGAGTGCTAGGTTTAGGCTTATAGTGCCCTCTATATATTTTCCAGCGCCGTGAAAAAAATAACCCGCCGGTTTCAGATTCTATCAGTGCGTTAAAAAGCAAAGGCTTATAAAACATTCTATTTTCTACAGGTCGTGCTATGGATTACTCGAAGCTATTCCCAAATGGTAATTTTCCCTTCTTTTTCTTTTATCCTTCATGTTTTCCGTTGGTTCCCGAGAAAATATAACTAGGGAAAAAAAAAGGAAAAGAAGCCCAGGTAGAAAAAGAATCCATAAAACTGAAACATGGGTTGTTTTCTTAGAAGCCCTGAAATTCTTATTATACTAAAAAGGGGTTTTCTGTTTTCCCTTTTTAATTGGACTTCTATTATTTTCTTTCTTGGGTTCTGAATTTAGTTTTGATTTGTTTAAATTTTTAGTTTCCATATTGTGGTTAGAAACTTTTATTTCTATGCATTTGTTTGTCTTGCTGTGATTTGTTTGATTTCCTTTGTTTATTTATTTATTTGTTTGTTTATTTTGTATTCAGTATCATATAGTTGCAGCATGTTGACTTTAATATGTATGTATGTATGTGTGTGTGTGTATATATATATATATATATATATATATATATATATATATGTAGACAGGTGATCATGCTTTTCTTTTTGGTCTTTAATCTTGCTGACATGTGAGACCCACTTTTTATTTTTACTTTTCTTTTTTTTATATATAGTTAATATTAGATTGACAATCATGTGCTTCGATTATTTTCGTTTTTGTATGTATGCAAGCTTTGGTCCGCTCTAAATATACTCGAATTTCGAACATAAAACTTCCAAGTTAAGAGTCTGTGGTTTAAATGTTGAGGTGTCTTTTGGAATGGTTATTTTTGTCAGTTTGACATTTCTAGACATGAACTGTTAGATGGAAAAAACTATTAATAACTTGATTATGAGGGTGCCTAGTATGTTTATGCATATCTTAGTTACCAATTTTCTGAATAGATATTTTATCAGCCAATGCTTCTAAAATTGGAAGTTAAATTTATTGTTGAAGTTGCTGAATATCAGCTTGTTATTTTTTGACGCATATGTCAACTTCCATTTGTTTGACTGAACTTCAGATTGTGAAGTGCCTTTTTTGAAGGCCTTGTTATTCTTGTATCTCAATACCTCTTTATTCGACTTGGTATAAATGGATCAACTCTTCAAGTAAGGTAAGGGATAGTGGCATGCCTTTGCAATTGTAAAATTTGCTGCTGTAAATGTAATTGAAGCAAACTGTAGGGATGGTAGGCAGCCATGAGTTAAGTAATCCTCATTTTGGATTGCACTCTTAGTATTTTGCTTCTTCTACTCTATCCGTTAGGTAGGAGGGAACGAAAGGGGAAAGAAAGCAAAATAAATTTTGTCTAATGGTTGAGCTACATAACATGTGCTATTTTGTAGCTCAACCATTAGATTAAAACTTTTTCAATTCTTTTCCCCTTTCTTTCCTTCCTACCAAATGAAAATAAGTAATATTTCTTTGACCTAATATGCACTGAGAAAGTGATCAGTCTTTTCCTACTTTTTAGTCTACTATGCCTTATGTTATTTAAAAGTAACTATTTTAGCCTCTATTCACTTGTGGTTGTATAACTACTTGGCATTTTCATATTGTAATTTAGATCTTTTATTTAGGGAAAGCAAATTGAGAAGAGAACAAGGTAACACCTCATTTTAAACTGTTGAATTTTGGGTTGTGAGAAAAGGGGGAGGGGGAGTTTTAGACCAAGGGTTACTGGCTGCCAAGACAGTTTTAATGTTATATAATAGGCTTCAGTGCAATGATCAGGGCCAGCAGATGTTCTCAGAACCTTTGAATGATCTGATTGATATTTATACTGAAAAATTAGGAATATATTTCGTCGTAAAATGTAAATAATCCCTTATAAACTCATTGGTGTGATATGGCTTCATTGCAGAACCCCATGGAAGGGATGAAATTGACATGACATTTCAGATTCAATGTCTGGAAAAAGAGGCTTACAGTTCTGTTTTGAGAGCTTTCATTGCTCAATCTGAGCTTCTTTCCTGGGTATGCGCTTTTGTACCCCATTCCAGCTTTTCATTAAGGCTCTCCAATTTGTTCATCTTTAGTTTTTACATGTTCTCTGCCTTCCATGTCATATTTTCGTTTTTTTTTTTAATTTCTTTACTGATTTCATCTTATTTGCTCGAAAGAATTCTTTCATTTTATAGGTTTCATTTTATAGGCTAAGGAGGGGCTCATGACAGATCTGCGGAAAGAACTTAATGTCACTGATACAGAACATGGAGAACTGCTTTTGAAAATTAATTCAGATAAGTCACTTAAAATGATAAGGTTTTTATAATCCTTTTGCTTCACTAGTTACTTCATAATTATAGTTGTGTTTGATTGCTCTGAACATTATGGTAATAAAGATGTTGAATGGTCACACTATTGGTACTGCTTGTTTTGGGTGGTCATAAATGGAGCAGGGAATGGCGAAAAAGTGCCCCTTGTGTTCAAGGCTCGCTTGTTGGTGAATTGAATGCTTCTGGATCTGCCCCTAATCCTACGGACTATGCCTTACAGAAAAAAAGGAAGACTTCTTATTCTTCTGATTCAATTTTCCACAAGCAGGAGCTGCATGGTCAGGCTTCTCCAGTAGTTCATCCGTTTGCAATTCTTGTAAGTAGAAGGAGGTTGGCTCATCATTTTTGTTATTATTATATGTCTATTCAGATATCTAGAGATAGGTAGATAATTGGATGGATAGACGATAGAGAGATGGAAGAAGCTAGTGGGGGAGTTACATAGGAAAAGATACCAGTTTTTAACCTAATGTTAATTTAAAAGAAAGAGGGCAAAGGAATAAATGAAAAACAACTTGTTTGAGAAGTTACAATAATAGAGACAGAGTCAGCTAATTTAGGCATGGACTTTATGCATTTATCTTTATATATAGCTCAGATATTTGAATGAGAATTTACATGTTAAGAGCCATATAGTTCCAAATTTAACTTGGTTATGATCAAGCACAATGCATAGATGTTCAATACAGTGACAAATTGGTTATGTTCTCATTGATTTCTGGCCGCTCTATTCAAGTAGCTAGCCATGGTTTTCAGGCACCATCAGATGACAAAGGAAGGGGAATAGTACAACCTGAAACAAAGATAGGTTATAACACAGCACCGTACTTTGATCATTTAAGGAAAGGTTCTGATGTTATTGTGATCTGTGAAACAAAAAATTTTCTTCATGAGGTGAGCTAAAACTTTGGTTTGTATATTATTTCTTTTCTAGGATATCAGGGGTTTTACTGTTGTCGGACCCTAAGTTGCATGCACATAATGGCTTGTTCGATAAATAACTTCTTGATGCATAAGAGGCAAATGTAAACACTTTTTAGGTGGTATTGAAATCCTTATGGAGTTATGGACTAAACTAAGTATTAGTTCCTTGAACTCCTTTTCATCCTCGAAGCATGTAAAGTTATGGCATTTATAATCCTGTTGGAATAATTCATACAGCAATAAAAGGGATGTGGCTTACTTTCTCCTGTTATTTTACCTCAACTTTATTTTTCCAAGTCTTAACTATGATATCTACACTGCTACAATGTCCTATTTTGCCATCAACTTTGCTTTCAACACACATGACAGTGAATTCCATACAAAAGTGTTGAATTGCACAACTCACTCTTTTCTAGAGAGCTGTTTTTATTGGAGGAAGAGAAAGGAGCAAAGATGATAAAGACATGAAATACTACAGTCAAAACTTTAGCTATAGCTGAGGAGCCTTTTATTCTGTTTATATATATATATATATATATATATATATATTTAGAGCTGGGCTTGGGGAGAGAAAGGAGTTTGTAAATTTTAAGCTTTAGAAGTTTTAATTATCATTTGGTGGAGAGTTGAAAAGGTTTGTCATAATGTGATCTCTTGTCATTCTTAATTTGTGATGATTAGAGGAATGATGAGAATTTTTATTTTATTTTTTGAAGGAATGAGAGTTTGGTATTTCATTACATAATTTGGGATTCTTAAAATGGTTTTCAATGTCAGGTGGGTCTTGAATCTTTTAGGCAATTTTCTGAATAGAACAGGGCTCCGAGGAGCCAAAATTTTGAATTCATTAGAATTGCTCTGTTTTATTACTTCCATCCCACTTGTTATTCTTTTCATTTGGATTTCTCACAAGTCCTTTGACTGGTGACTTTGTTGGCCATTATGATATATTTTCTTTTGAGCATGCATTAAGATAGAATTCACCTGCTGACTCTTGTAGCAATTCTTTACTGTTCTGAAATCTAAGACATTTCATCTGGCAGATTGAAAGGGTGATCTACGGAAGAGAAGGCACTGTCCCAGCACAAGTGGAGAGGGCAATGTTAATGCTGAAAGTAAGTTTGGTTCTTTCATTTGAAACAATTATCATCTACTCATGTTAATTGTTTTAGTTAGTAAGAGCTTATATTTTATTGTCTAGTTCCACTGATGAGGAAATTTTGGTTTAGGATCATGAAAGATCTCTGCTTTACACACTTGCTAAACTTTCTGATGTATCAGATGATGGTGAGTCTCATTTTTCGCATGTTAACTAGATTCGTTTTTGACTTGCCGACATCTGAAGCATATGTATACATGTTTTAGTTTCTGATGATTCCCCTGATCAAATGCTGCATCACTACTCCCATGGAGAGGTTGAAAATAAACGACAAATAACGACCCATAGTGACTGCCATGGGCAGGCTGGTGGCTTACATAGCTATCCTCCTAAGAGGTATCTCCCGAAGAAATGCCATCCTGCGAAGAGTTATGATCCAACCCTTCCAGTCAAGCCGAAAGTCCCTCGGCCTTGATGCTCTGCATATGGAGGATACTTCTTTGCAGGCATTCTTGTTCGCCTCAATAGAATAGTCGTAAATACAACACTAATGATCATTTGATGTCAAGAGTCAAGGCAGATATGTCAAATATGGTATGATCCTTTTCTAGATTTTTAGGCATTGGAGCTTCCTGTTCTCTAGGTTTGAGCTTTACTTAACTGGTTTTGCATGGATCTGATGACATTGGCTAAGCTAAACTATGCTGGGGTTAGGAGTTGGAATGTTGCAATATTGTTGTATTTGACCTGTATTGACCTGAACTAGTGCTTTTACTGCTTTCTTTATCTTCTGCAAACTATAAGGTTTTCACTTGAATTTGTCCTTAGATTAATCTTTGTTTCTGTAACTTTTATTTGATTATACTTAAGATTATTATTCATGAAATTTTCAAACTTTTAAACTTCACAAGTGATGTTAAAATATTGCCATGTGTTCTTATTATAATAATTTAATTTTTTAATATAATTTTAATTAGGTGTATGATAATTTTTTAATCTTATCAATAATATTAAAAAAAATTATGGACAGTGTATTGAGTAAATTTTTTTATATTTACATTTGTATAGCTAAATAATTTTGCAGAACATAAATAACCCAGCTGTCCCCTAATTATTATCAGAGAGATGGAAGCTTGGAAAGGATATTAAATACTGGGCAAGTTAGGAGGATAAGCCAAAATTTGGTACAAGACGCATGTAGATACCAAGCTCTTTGTGCTAAGGAAATTTATTTTTATCTTTTGGTGGATGGCAAAGAAGAAGAGTGAGATGCAGCCGAGGCCGGAGAGAATTTCTTTTGAGTTTTTTTTTTTTTCTAAGTTGGTTTGATGATTAAATAATTCTTAAGAGATAAAATTTTTGTTTTAAATTAAGACCTCCCCTTTTTCATTGGCTATACTTATTTTTTTATTCATAAAACGATAAAGTCCTTACAAAAAGAAAGAGATGACGGTGTTAGAATCAACATATATCTTTTTCAAAACACCTTAGCCACAGGCGCCAAAAGAAATATAAATTGTTTAACCTGTTCATAATGAAAATTTGTAATTGTAGTAAGTCATATCGATACTTGCTGTCATTTTAATTGAACCAAACCAATATTGTAAGAATCGGACTGGCAGGTCGGATCGGGAATCGATTCATGTCCGGTCCAGGAAATCGTAATACTTGCCCTTTTCACCCAACCGGTCAAAATTCGGTTAAACAAGATTAGATCTGATCGATCGAATTGTATCTATTGGTTCTTGATATTTTTATTATTTAAATTATTATTTATTCTATAAAAAGTATTTTGTATGTAGTAAGATTAAAACCCTTAATTTTTAGAGTTTTATTAATGTACAAATCATCAAATTAAATGCATTTATTTATTAAATATCTATTATATTTAATATATATTAAAATGTTGTTCATTAGTTATCGTTCATAGATATAATAATAAGTTTGTATTTGATATATTGTTAGTGTATAAATTTTATACACTATCAGTAAATCAAATGATATCACATTATTAATAAATAAAAATTAATCCTTAAAATAAATATATAAAAATTAATATTTTTTAAAAAATTTATTAATGAGATGATATCATATGATTTACTTCATTAATGATATAGCATCATCTTATTAACTGATAGTGTATAAAATTTATATACAGATAATATATCAAATATAAATTTTACGATAATTTATATATTTGTGTTATATAAAACAATAAAAATATTTGTATTAATATTATATTTTATATAAAATTTACATATCATAATTTGTATTAATAAAAATATATGAAAGATATTTTTTGTTTCAATTAAACTCATATATGTTTGTGTTAGAAGTATAACTTATGTTACTTTTTTTTTTTTCGTATTAATTTTATGTCGTTTTTAAATTGCATTGTTTAACTGTAGGCAAAATTTTCTTTTTGTTTTGTTATATCTATTTATCATATTTTTGTTTTGCAAAAAAAAAAATCAAGTGAGTTATTAAGAAATTGGAATCTAAAAATTATTTATTAAATATATAAAAAATAAAAAATATTTAAAATTAAAAGAAAACACGTAACATATTTCGATATTAAATGAATCTAAAAAGATATTTAAAAAATTAATTAAATTTTTCTAAAATATAAAAAAAGATTGATATCAAGTCGTTCTCTGAAAACATATGTTAAACATTTAAAAAAATAATAAAAAAAAAGCACAACACAAAAAGATTTAAAAAGAAACAAAGAAAAAACGGATCCCATAAGAAATATAATAAAAAAAAATAGATAAGACATTACAGAAATTATGAATTACTAAAATATTAAAAAACTGAAAAAACTCAAAACAATAATTGGGTCTCACAGTGGGACATATTTGTAATATTAAGTGAGTTATTAAAAAATGAAATTTAAAAATTATTTATTGAATAAAAAATAGAAAATAAAAAATATTAAAAAATATATGATATATTCTTGATATCAAATGATTTAAAAATATATATAACATCAATATTAAAAAAAAAATTGATGTCAAGTTGATAAATATATATATATATATTAGACATTTAAAAAATAAATAAAAAACATGCAACAAAAAAAAAGTGAATCCCACATGGTAATAAAAAATTAGAGCACACAATTAAAAGAATCATGAATCATTAAAAAAATTAAAAATTAAAAAATAAATGGATGTACAAAAATAAAATACATAAAAAAATAAAAAAAAGCACCGCCAAAAATAATGGGTCTCACGTAAAAATAATATATTTATAATAAAATATAAAAATTGTAAAATATATATAATATAAAAAATTAAAAAATTAAAATGAGAAAAATGTAAAAATGTTTTTTAAATAAAATATATACAAATTAAAAATATAATAAAAGTGTGTCCACTGAATTTGTATTTATAATGAAATATATAATTAAAAAAAAAAAGAGTTGGCCCCACTGTTAAAATTTTTTATAATTACCATATAATAAAAAAGCAAAAGAAAAAAACACTAAGGAGCTGACGTGTGGCTTACACAATACCAACCGATTTACAACATTTATATATTAGATACACAAAGTAAAAAATATATAAAATATAAAAGTAAAATGATAAAAAAAATCTTATTAAAGGAAAAAATAGGTCCCACCATTAAAAAATAATAGGTTTCAAAAAAATAAATTTGTAATTTTATATATTTAAAAAATTTAAAAAGGAAAAGAATTAAGATACTAAAAAGGGTAAAAAAAATAAGGAAGAAAAGCAGATGCCAAAAAAGAGTAATAAGCCAAATTTGAAAATAATAAAATTATTTTAACAATATTATATACTAAAAATTAAAAAAAGAACAAAAAAGTTGGTCCAAACAAAGTTAGGGACTTACCTAAAAAAATAAATTAATTTAATAATTTAAAAAAAAAAAAAAAGAAAACATGAAAAAGGAGAGGGAAGTGGGTCCCACACAAAAAAGTGATGAGCCTTACTTGAAAAAAATAAGAATAAAAATAAAAAATAAAAAAAAGCAGGAAAGTGACGCATGACAGTACTGCTGACTAAGTGCATCTGCTAAATTTATATAGAAGATTTATAACAAATATTGCATTTAAATGAAGATGACAGATTAATTTACACTTGTATAAAATTTTTTAATTTTTAATTTTTTTAATTATTAATTTCAATAGATTCATATGGACGAGAGAAACAAATCCCAAAAAAAGAAAAAAAATATTTAGTCTCACGTTTGGATTGATTCTTATAATTGAACCGGTTGAACAAGTTGAATCAGGAACTGGACATGCAACTGATTCATTCAACCTCATATCCTTAGATCAAGCTAATGTTATTAGAGGTACTCTACCTGCTTCTTTATCCATAGAGCTTGGTATTTCAATGCTACAGGAGGCATTAAAATGGGAATAGAAAAAAAAATCAAAATCTATGAAGCTCACATGAAAGAGACTGAGGACTATATTTTCAAGTAGAGGATTTATCTCATAAGAACAAGCTAGTTGAGTACCCCCAAAACTTCTGTTCCATTAGCCAATGTCAATTAATAAGATCATTTTCTAGGTGTTCTCTTCACAAGTTTCATGAATCCCAGGAAAATCAAAATCCCATATCTGATAGCAAACACTTGTGGCACAAGCAAAGGCTCCTACCCCTGATTCTGACGTATCAAGAACATATACTAAACTGCCATGGTTTTTAGTAAGTTTTCATGGATTGAAATGTTGAAATTTGAAAATTGCATTTGAAGATATCCAATTGCTCTCTTCACCTTTTCTACTTCCTTTTGAAGCTTTGGCATTGCGAAATTTCCTTGCCTTTGTACGTATTAGAGGTACAAGCCATAAAATGGTTATAACTTTGTAATCAACAAACAAGCAAAGGTTTGCCATTGCAGATTAAAGTCATGCACAAAATCCATCGAACTCCACCAGTTATGCTCTTGAGGAAACTAAAACAATAAACAGAAAAAATAGACATATTTTCTCCCACTCTCTGATCTTTCAAACAGAAATGAGATGGTCTGGATAGACACTTGAAGCATGTATAAAACCAAGCTAAAATCCAGACCTATTGTTCATGGATTTTGCTTTACTACTGAATAATATATGGTAGAGATTGATTCTGTCCAATCCTTGCACAATGATGTGATTTGAGATTTTTTTTCCTCTAAAATTTCTCAATCTGTCCTTTCATTTAGTTGGAAGTTTTATCTACAACACGCAAGTTATACACCTCATTGTATCCTTTTTAAGTCTTTGAAACTATTTTATCCTATTTTAATAAGATATTATGTGTTTAAATTTTTTTAAATTCGTAATTTTTAAGTATCACTTTTAATAATATATTAATTAATTCAAGGGATAGTGACACCTCATTCATACCTTGATATTAAATTTTTGAGAAAATGAAATAATTAAATTTTTTTTTACTGTTAAATTTTTGTATACTATCTTTTGAGAAAATGAAATAAATAAATTTATTTTTTTACTGTTATTGTCTTATAGTTATAACAAAATTTGCTTTTTGAATGTTATCTCCCCCTCCATATAACAAAGGCTAAAAGAAAACTCATCATTGCCCGCCAGAAATTAACTCTCAAAAACCATGAACCTGATCACTTCTCAAAATCTACACCCTTGACATCTTTTGTAAAAGCTTCTGTCAACTGTAAATGGCAACTCCAACTTCACTGTTTCTGCCCAAGAGACTCCCTTTTTTCCTTAACATATCATTTCTATTCCTACTCTTTTTCTTTATTGCAACTTATGATTTTCTTGGCCAATCCAAAAATGGGCAAATTCCCATCATTATTAGCCATTCTTTAGTCCCCCATGGAAGTAACAGTGATAGCTGCGCCGGTCTCCATGACTACACTGATTATAAGTCTAAGTGCTTGTATGTAAAGTCAGAAATTGGGTGCAGGCCTAAAGGGTACATAAACTATCTCCAGATTTTTT